TCCTTAGCTGGTCATGTGCTGGTCCTAAACTGGTCCGACCAGCTTAGGACCAGCATAAACCAGCAAAGGACCAGCTTAAACCAGCAAAGGACCAGCTTAAACCAGCAAAGGACCATTTTAAACCAGCAAAGGACCAGCTTAAACCAGCATCCCAGCGTCAAAACATACCTAACCAGCATATGCTGTTTTTTTCAACAGGGTTGTCAGACCGGGGGGATTCAACCCCACCTGTGAGGCAAAACGCCCCCCTTGGTACAAATGAAAGTTTTGTTAAAAATCTAATAACATGAAAACTCTGGTCTTTTTTCATACTTGGTTTATAATTTATGTTATTGTCACTAAAACTATGATAACTCTTCTGGACACATTATACTTTTGTTTCACAGAAAACAATGACCCAGTTCTTAAGCAGGGCGTTTTCCCCACTCTACCCCTAACACTCAGCTGACAAGACAACATGACGAATGATTACATTCTTATTACACACATTTATACTATATAGAGCTTATTTTTTTAATGGGCAATAGAGAGAATTTTGGACACAGCCGTATATTTCTGTTGGAATGGATTTCGCGGGAAACTGCATACACACCCCTGATAGCACTCGTCACGGAGACGTCTATTTGACGTCTGCATTTACATCTGCAAGACGTATTTTTTTGAGTGTTTGCCCATCTGCAATACGTCTATAGGACGTTTCCTATCAGATGTCAAATAGACGTTTAGAAGATGTCTTTAAGATGTTTATGATTTAGAATGTACAGTATGTAAAACTGACATCTTACAGACGTAAGTGTGTATATCTGGGACATTGGTTCGTGCGTGTCATGGTCAGAAAAGTAAAAGATCGTTGTGACTACAAAGTACCCAGATAGCACACATTCGTCTGCAAGATGTCTGTTAAAGATCTGGAAAGCACCTGCTGGGTACAAATATCTAATAGACGTCTCTAAGATGTCAGTTTTACATTCATTCTACATCGTTCATTCTAAATCTAAATTTGACATCTGATAGGAATCGTCCCATAGACGTATTGCAGATGAGCAAACGCTCTAAAAAATACGTCTTGCAGATGTATTGGCTGCTGTAAGTACGGTAAGTGGATGAGGACAAACCAAATGCGTGTTTTTTTCCAGCGGCTACACGTAGCATCGCCAATATTATCGTTTTAATGACATTTCACATGGAATAATTAAATTGAGTATAAATACTTAGAAATATTATATCAGGTTTATAAGAATGA